TAACTAGAATACTGCTACTTAGTGACAGCTTTATTTCAAGTGATAATATGAATTTGCCCAGAAAGTTAGAATCTAATGCTCGAAATTTCCTCTAATTTAAGAAACAAAATGAAAAAGTGATGATTAAGATTGGCAGAATGTAATTGCTGAAGCTGAGTAATGGATACTTGGAACTTCATTGCACTATTCTCTATACTTTTGAGTGTGTTTGAATATATCCATAAGTAGACGTTTTTATATGACAATTGTGGGACCTTGGAGGTCACTCAAGACCTGGGAAGTTTGACTGTCATGTCAGTAAAACTAGTAGAGGATGTTTGAACCAAAAGAATCCTCAGGAAATGTGATGATTTCTATAATTCTTACCTAGTTATTTGGATTTGAAGGATTAAGGTGCATGTAGATAAAACATTTGGTGGATGTAATATAAATTGATCTCAAAAAGCTTTTGACAAGATGTTACAGCCACTATATTTAAGGGAATTGAGTCACCATAGGACTGTGACTCTCTTTCCTCTCAGTAGATATTACCTTAGAAATGGGTAACAAAGGTAGAGATAAAGGAGGTTAAGGACATTATTCTGACATTTCAAAAGCATGATTTTTTAGGGATAGGAGGGGGGTTAGTTTTTTAAAAATAAATCTTTACAAAAGATCTGAAGGAATTGCAGTGAGATATCCAAGAGGACAATTACATGAAATGCTTCCTGACAATAAAAAGTTTAGTTGATGGGAATAAAGTATAAAGAAATCTCAGGGAAGCCCTGGCTGGCATAGCTCAGTGGATTGAGCGTGGGCTGGGAACCAAAGTGTCCCAGGTTCGATTCCCAGCCAGGGTACATTCCTGGGTTGAAGGCCATAAGGGTTACCCCCAGCAACCGCACATTGATGTTTCTCTCTCTCTCTATCTCCCTCCCTTCCCTCTCTAAAAATAAGTAAATAAAAAATATATATAAAAAAAAACTTAAAAAAACTTAAAAAAATCTTCATAATTTAAAAAAAAAAAGAAATCTCAGGGGTATGGGTATGGGCTCATTATTGACAGGCCTAAGGACATGTACACATGTGCATTTGATGCTAAGGCAGGTGGCTGGGATTGATTGTAGAGCTCAGAACAGATTTTTCTCCTGCTGAGATTGTCTTTTTGGAAGGTATTGGCAGACAGACACTCTAATGTGGACATCCACAATACATCCTGTCAAGGGCCATGAAAGAGTGTAAAACTAAAATTTACTAGGGAAGAAAAATAGTTTGGCCTAAGGGGTTTCCCCTCCATTTCCAGAGAGAGAGTTGATAGGCCTGTTGACAGTGGAAAAAATGAGTCAAAAGCCACCTTGTTGAGAGCTTTTCCCCTTCTACTTGAAGGAAGGAAAATGAGAGTAGCAAGTTCTCACAGTGGTGATGGTTATAGATCAACACACTTTAGGCAAGCTGTACTGCTGACAGGACCAGCTACATAATTCACAGGACCCAGTGCAGAAGGAAAATGTGAGGTCCCTTGCTCATGAATTATTCAGAATTTCAACACAGTGACAGCAAAATATTATACCAAACATGGGCTCTTCTAAGCTTGGGCCTCTGTGTGACAGCATAGGTTGTATGCCTATCACTTACTCCTGGGCAGCAGGGCTAGCGATAGCAAAAATTTGTAAGGCATAATAGAAAGGTATAACACAGAAAACCAAGCTAATAGAAAATGTCACTGAATTTTTCTACTAGAAACAACCATTGCTATCATTTTGACCCTTAAAGAAAATTACATCTTGGGCAGTTTTCCATGTTAGGAGATATAATTCATCTCAATCCTATTGTGGGGGGAGGAAAAATCATTTTCCTTATAACTTTCTAAGTTATTCTGGCTGGTCTGATAACTAGGATAACATAAGCCAGATTAACATAACCAAATATATTATAGGTATACATACAGGGGTTTTGTAAGAATATGAGACCAGAGGACATACTGAGCAGTTGAGACTTATATGCCATTCTGGACTAAGGAGAGGAAGGCAGGGATATGGGTCTGGCACTTCAAAGGGAAAGCAGTCAATTCACAGATAGGCCAGAAAGAGCAAACATTTGGTAAATTCTTGATAGGCCTCCCAGAAACAGTGGGACATAAAGGGGAAACTAACAGATAGACTTTGCTTGGCTTCTTCCTGTCTGCCACACTTAGATCATATTATGACGATAAGGTGACAGCTCCCTTCCTTTAAGCAGGCTTTTCTATCTAGATTCCTTTTGGTATGAAAAGGGGGAAGCTCAGAGTTTCTTTCTGAGCCTTTAATTTCTTAAAAATAGCCAGCTTAAAATAATAAATATGCCTCCAAAAGGGGCATATTTTGAGGTGGCAAAATCTGCTCTCCTTCACTGTTGTATAGAGGTTCCATGTTCCATTTAACCAAACCCTATTGTTGTGTATCTGAGGAGTCTTGAGTCTTTCATTGTTGCAAATGGTACATATTGAATATCAATAAAGTTAAGTGAGGATGAAATAAGTAAATCAGTATAAAAACACTTCACAGAGTGCTTAGCAAATAGCAAGCTCATTATAAATGTTAGTGTTACTTTTATATTGTCCAGTTGCCCCATGTGAAGGTGAATTGGTTTACATTTTCAACAGAGCTTAATTATCCTAAATCCTTGCCAATTCTTTCAGTTTTTCCTTTTGTATTTCTTCCTTTGTTAATGACCTGTTCATGTGCTTTGATGGTTCGCCTATTGGATTCCTCATGCCTTCAAAATTGTAATCGATTTCTGTATTGGGGCTACCGATCCTTTGTAATATGAATAACAAGGACTTATTTTCCCTATTTTTTAGTTTGATGTTTGATTTTCTTTGCTTTAACTACGCAGGCATTTTGAAGTTTAATACAGTACAGTTAAATCTGTCCATCTTTTATGTTCAGATTTCTGTCTTTGCTGCCCTTTAGCAAGTCTTTTGCCACAGAATAGGTCTAGAGTTCAATGGTGGTGAAGCTTTTCCTGCTGTAGGTTGGCTCTCCCAGTTTTCCTCTGAGGCTTCATTCTTCTGGGGCATCGTTCTCTAAGTTTGACCAACAGAGTTCACAGCACTATCAGGAGTGTCCAACCTTTTGGTGTCTGTGGGCCACATTGGAAGAAGAAGAGTTGTTTTGGGCCACACATTAAATACACAAACACTAATGAAAACTGATGAGCCAAAAAAAAATTTTAAGTAAATTTATGATTTTGTGTTTGGTCACATTCATAGTCATCCTGGGCCACATGTGGCCCATGGGCCACAGGTTGGACACCTCTGCATGTGTATGGGAAGGAAATACATATATTAACATTGAATGTATCTGCGAGGACACAAGATATATTGAAACTATGTTGTCTATCTTCAAACCCAGGAAACAATTCTGCTCTTTCCATATTTTCTGCATTTCTTTGCTATGTAGGGAGAGTTCTGTCTTTACCAGAGTTATTCTTTTGGAAGATCCAACCAAACAGAAATTGAGTTGGGGTTAGTGGCTGTAGTTATGTGGTTTGCCATCACTTCTGCATATAGTTAAGTTATTGCTGGCTATACCAGTGTAGGAATAACTAGTGGAAACATTTCTAAAGTAGTAAATCTGAAGTTTATTTAAGATTAGTCACTATATAAAAAACATGACATATCCTAAAATATTGCAGCTAATATATAAAAGAAATGATGGAGGTTTAATAGTGGTTTTTCCAAGTTTGACAGTCCAGAAAATTTATGACATTAACCAGTGATGAGTGGTGGTGAAGCTGAAACATACTTTTCTAAACTAAGCTCAGAAAAAACTAAATTGTTTTTCTATTCTCGCTATAGAAATTACAGTACAGCCCTGGCTGGTGTGGCTCAGTGGATTGAGTGCTGGCCTGTGAGCGGAAAGGTTACTGGTTCCATTCCTTGTCAAGGCACATGCCAGGCCAGGGTTGCCAGGCCAGGGTTGCCAGGCCAGGCCCCCAGTAGGGGGCATGTGAGAGGCAACTGGCTGATGTGTCTCTTGCACATTGATGTTTTTCTCCCTCTCTTTCTCCCTTCCTTTCCCTCTCTCTGAAAATAAATAAATAAAATCTTAAAAAAAAGTAGTGGTATCTCATTGTGGTTTTAATTTACACCTCTCAGATGGCTAGTGATGCTGAGCATTTTTCTTTTCATGTCTCTGGGCTCTTTGTATGTCCTCCTTGGAGAAGTGTCTGTTCAAGTCCTTTGCCCATTTTTTAATTGTTTTTTTTTTTGTCAACAAAACAAGCAAGCAAAATATAACCAGAGACAGTGAATTTAGGAACAAACTGACAGTAACCAGAGGGGAGGTGGGGGGGGTAATAGGGGGGAAAAGGGGGAAGGGTTCTCAGGAACATGTATAAAGGACACATGGACAAAACCAAAGCAGGGTAGGATCAAGGGTGGGAAGTGGGGATGGCTGGGGTAGGGGGGAGTGGTGAGGGGAAAATGGAGACAACTGTACTTGAACAACAATAAAAAATAAATAAATAAAGTAAAAAAAAGAAATTATACTACAAAAAGTGGTTTCAGTTGAAGAGGTGATCAAAAGATATGCAGCCCCCAAATCAAAAAAGGGTACCATAGAGGTGTGTTAATTTAATGAAAAACATTGTTTTTTTCAATATTGTGATATACATGGTATTTGTGAGTTTTTAAAACATGGAATTTCTTGTGATTATTGTTTGATTATAAATAAATATTTGGAATTGTTCCTAATTTTTCACTTTAAAAAATGTATTTAACCCAAATGGTATAAACTTCAGGCCCCACAATACCCAGATCTGCCATTGTTTATGGGGTAAGTATTGATGGTCATTCAGAGTGTTTCTTGTTGCCAGTGACCCTGGCTTGCCCAAGTCTGAGTCTGACTTGCCTCAATGCTTATATTTTTTTCACCATCTAAAATTCTCTTACGTATCAGGGCATTGATATATATTATTTCATTTGAACTGCACAATTGTTTAAGTATTATTGTATGAGTAGTATTATTGTCATTTTACAGATGGGAATACTGAGATTCAGAGAGGTGAATTAAATTACCCAGGCTTACACAGCTAATATGTGGTAAAGCCAAGGTTTGAACTCTTGTTTCAATGAGTCTAAAGCGTCAACTGTTGTATACTGCCTGGGAAGAAAACTCTGGAGTCATTACAAAGGAAGACCTACTTACTGGTTCCTTCCAGGAACCTCCAGGTGAGTACAGAAGATAGACAATGACTTCTCCAATGCAGATGTAAGCAGGGGGTCAAGTCCTCCCACTTCAAATTTTGGCGTAACAGCAAAATGCCCCAGATACCTCCTTCTGCAAATCCCACACAGTGTTCTGTCTGTGCCTTTGCCCACTCTCCTCTCCTTTTTTGATTGTGACTACTCAGCTGTGGTGTTCCTGATAGAGGGGAGGGCTGAATGTGACCAGTCAAGGAGCTTTCTGGCCTCCTCTTCATGGCCATGATCATAGTTGCCCCTGAGGGCCCAAGGCATTAACATGCTTTAAAGCAACCCTGCCCTTCCTTCTTCCCCTTGCTCTCACCAGTCCTGCTTTTGGCAGCACTACTACCTTTCTCAACTATTTAGTTGATGTCAAATATGATTGTCAGCACCTCGGTTACCATGACCCCTTTTTCTTTGAGAAAGGTAGAATGCAAGGCACACACCTGGATAATGCAGCTCTCACCTCACTTCTCAGCTTGGAGGAGCACAGGGAATTCTGGGTCTCAGCCTTTCCATATTCTAATATGAGATTTCAGCCTGCCTCTCTCCAGGCTGAAGGAGGAGGCTGAAACAAGCATTTTGGGTACCTGTGAAAAAGAGGCAGGGCTTGCTTTCTCGAATTAGTTTACTTGACTCCAAGCAAGCTCAGGGAAGGAATTTTGCAGCTGTCTTCTCAATTCCAGAGACTGAGTCTGCACTTCCAGTACTCCTTGCTTCCCACTCTCCCTACCCAGCCAGTAGTTCACCCCTCCACCATAAAGGGGATGTCCTTTCCCCAGAAAGTCAGTCAAGGCCTGTGGTCTCTGCCTTCCAGGGCACCAATACCTGAGGATATTGTCTAGAAATGTCCACTTTCTACTACAAATCTGAATTTTTGAATTGGATTCTAGGTCTCATAAGCTGATAGAGTCCACTTGGCAAAAAGCAGTGGTTATCTTTGCTTTTAACTTTTCATGACATAGCACAGATCCCAAGTCTTCAAAACTGGCATCAATTTATTAAAGGCATTGGTAGTGGTAGACAGCACATGCTAAAACAGAACCATGAGCCAGGCAGCATGTCAATCTGAAAAAGTTCAAGTAAGAGGCAGAGCAAATGAGAGAAGTTTGATCCCATGAAAACTCCTTTGTGTGATTGTTTTTGCCCCTTCCCCCAATCTCAGAGCAGCTTTATTTTGATATGTAACATAGTTGTGCCCCCAACACAAGTTCTTCTGACCTCTACGGTCCCTGGTATTTTGTGTCTGCCTTCCCCTCCCTCTTCAACTCATGTGTGCTACAATTATGATCTAATTACCCTAAGCCAGGGGTGTCAAAATCATTTTCACCGGGGGCCACATCAGCCTCAGGGTTGCCTTCAAAGGGCCGAATGTAATTTTAGAACCGAATAAATGTAACTACTCCTTAACTAGGGGCAAGGAACTTGGTGCTGCCGCTGGGTAGAAACATGGTGCCGGGCCAGATAAAACAAGGTGGAGGGCCAGATTTGGCCCACGGGCCTTGTGTTTGCCGCCTGTGCCCTAAGCCAACTCAGTGAAGTGTTTTACAATTTTTGAATAGTTTTTCAACTAACTGTGGTAGTATCTGCTGAATCCCCCAAATATTTAAACAGTTTGGGCCCTGGCCATTCAGTGATCTTTCCAGAGTCTGTGCCTAGCCCCTGTGTGATTATATGTCCAATATATTTTGTAAAGAATCCATTTTTATTTTTAGAGAGAGGCGAAGGGAGTGATCGGGAGAGAAACATCGATGTGCAAGAGGAACATCAATCAGGAGCCTCTTGCACGCCTCCAACGGGGGACCTGGCCTGAAACCCAGGCATGTGCCCTGATCGGGAATCAAATCCGTAACCTTACAGTTTGCAGGACAACACCCAGCCCACTGAGTCACACCATTCAGGGCTGTCCAGCATATTTTGAGGTCTGGAAGAACTGGCATTTGTCAAGGGACAATTTAGGCTGGGTTTCCCAGGTGATCCAGTAATACAAGAAGTCATCATTCTTCTCCTCCAAAGCATTGACAAACATAATGATCTCATCTAAACAAATAAGCACCTCCAGGTAATTCATATTGCCAACTGCTTTTTCCATTAGACTCCTGAAGGTGTCTGGGGTTCCAAAGATGTGTGAGGTGGCCTTTGAAATAGGTAAAGCCCCAGTCAGCCATTGAGATTCAACAATAGCACTTTTCAAACACAGTCATGGAAATACGGATTCCCTACTGTGCAGTGTAGAGGCTAATGTGGACACACAACTCTTTCTAAGGCACAGAAAGATAACAGAACATTAATATCCCCCCGTTCTGAGTCTACCCTTTCCTATCATGAATTTTCCATCTCCCCCTTTGCGTATTTGTATGTTTAGCTCAATAGTAGTTCTTAACCCTGACTGCCTATTATAATCTATGGAGTTTGTTCTAAAACATCTACCCCTGGGCCCCATTCACCTCTAGAGATCCTGACATTTTCTAAACACCTACTTTTCTAAACACCTCCCATAGGGAGGCCCTGTGCCTGACCTAGGAGTAGAGGTGATTGAGTTATGGTCCTTGTGTCCATGTAGCTCACAGTCCAGGGGCAGAGGAAGAAAATTTGAAAAGTATTATTCAGTGAGAAAATACAGTATAACTCCAGTTCTTTTCTCTCTTTTTTTAAAGATTTTATTTATTTATTTTTAGGGAGGGAAGGGAGGGAGGGAGAGAGAGAGAGAGAGAGAGAGAGAGAGAGAGAGAGAGAGAGGGAGGGAGAAAAACATCAATGTGCAGTTGCTGGGGGTTATGGCCTGCAACCCAGGAATGTATCCTGGCTGGGAATCGAACCTGGGACACTTTGGTTCCCAGCCCACGCTCAATCCACTGAGCTGTGCCAGCCAGGGCTCCAGTTCTTTTCTTAATCTAGCTTATTTCTCATGAAACTGTACATGTGTGGGTGAGGTCAACATGGATTTGTTTAACAAGTCCTCGTGCAGAGGAGGAAGAGTTTCTTGGGTTCTTGGGTGACATAAATTGAGATTTAAAAAATATTTAAACTGTACATGAATGTCTATAGAAGTTTTTATTTATTTATTTATTTTTAGAGAGGGAAGGGAGGAAGATAGAGAGAGAGAGAAAAACATCATTGTGCGGTTGCTGGGGGTTATGGCCTGCAACCCAGGCATGTACCCTGGCTGGGAATCGAACCTGTGACACTTTGGTCCGCAGCCTGAGCTTTATCCACTGAGCTACGCCAGCCAAGGCTCGTAGAAGTTTTATTTGTCATAGACAAAAACTGGAAACATCCATATGCTCTTCAATAGATGAATGGTTCAATGAAGTGGTGCATCCATACCTTAGAATACTACTTAGTGAGAAAAAAAAAGGAATGAACTATTGATACATGTGACAGCCGGGATGAATCTCCAGACAGTTTGTGCTGAGTAAAAAATAGGCTAATCCCCAAAGGTTACGTATTGTGTGTTTTCATTTGTATACCACTCTTGAAAGGACAAAATTATAGAGGTGGAAGAATGTTCAGTGGTTACTAGGGGTTAGGGAATTGGAGAGGAATCCTTGTGGTGATGGAAATGTTCTATATCTTGATTGTAGTGGTGCTTATGCAAGGCTACACACGTGGTAAAATTATATAGAGCTAAACACCCACACCCCCACACATCCAGACACAAATGTGTACATGTGTAACTTTTGAAATCTGAGTAAGCACTGTGGATTATACCCATGTCAATTTTTTGGTTTTGGTATTATACTATAGTTGTATAAGATGTTAACGTTGGGGAATACTGAGGAAAGGGTGCATGGGACTTCCCTATATATTTCTTGCAGCTTCCTTTGAATGTACAATTATTAAAAAACATAATAGCATAAGAAGTTACTAATCAGAAGCAAAAAGGATTATAAGTGTTAGACACATTTATAAATGCAAAACCATAAATGGCTACATTGGGAGAAGATGGCAGTATCATTCCTCTTGGATGTTATAAGAAAGTCTTCTCAGGGAATATTACATTTAGAAATTAGATGTTTGTTTCATTGTTTCTTCCAAGTAAGAAAAGAATGTTTCTTTTGAATAGTTAGAATATATAACTCAAGAAAGGTCACTAGTAATCCTATCATTTTGAGATAACCATTTTTTCAACATTTAGGATACATCTTTTCAATCTTTTTTGTATGCATAAAATTAAAACAAAAATTTCACAATCAGCAAGAAAAAGATTTTTCCTGTCTTTAAAGAGACTTGTATTAATATCATTTTAATGTATATACAGTATTCTGTCATAGGGATGCAGAATTATTATTTTTAAAATATATTTTATTGATTATGCTATTACAGTTGTCCCATTTCCCCCCTTCACTCCCCTCTACCCTGTACACCCTCTCCCACCCACATCCCCCCCCTTTAGTTCATGTCCATGTGTCATACTTATAAGTTCTTTAGCTTCTACATTTCTCATACTATTCTTACCCTCCCCCTATCTATTTTCCACCTACAATCTATGCTACTTATTCTCTGTACCTTTTCCCCCTCTCTTCTCCTCCCACTCCCCTGTTGCTAACCCTCCATGTGATCTCCATTTCTGTGGTTCTGTTCCTGTCCGAGTTGTTTACTTAGTTTCTTTTGGTTTTGCTTTAGGTGTGGTTGTTCATAATTGTGAGTTTGCTGTCCTTTTACTATACATGTTTTTTCTGTATCTTCTTTTCTTAGATAATTCCCTTTAGCATTTCATAAAATAAGGGCTTGGTGATGATGAACTCCTTTAACTTGACCTTATCTGAGAAGCACTTTATCTGCCCTTCCATTCTAAATGAAAGCTTTGCTGGATAGAGCAATCTGGGATATAGGTACTTGTCTTTCATGACTTGGAAGACTTCTTTCCAGTCCTTTCTTGCCTGTAAGGTGTCTTTGGAGAAATCAGCTGACAGTCTGATGGGAACTCCTTTGTAGGTTACTGTCCCCTTATCTCTTGCTGCTTCTAGGATTCTCTCCTTCATTTTTACCTTGGCTAATGTAATTATGATGTGCCTTGGTGTGTTTCTTCTTGGGTCCAACTTCTTTGGGACTCTCTGAGCTTCCTGGACTTCCTGGAAGTCTATTTCCTTTGCCAGATTGGGGAAGTTCTCCTTTATTATTTGTTCAAATACATCTTCAATCTATTGCTCTCCCTCTTCCCCTTCTGGTACCCCTATAATTCGGATGTTGGAACATTTAAAGATGTCCTGGAGGTTCCTAAGCTTCTCCTCGTTTTTTTTTCTTTTTTTGAATTCCTATTTCTCCATTCTTTCCTGTTTGGTTATTTCTTTCTTCCTTCTAGTCCACTCTATTGTTTTGAGTCCCAGTTTCCTTCCCATCACTATTGGTTCCCTGTGCATTTTCCTTCATTTCTTTTATCGTAACCTGCATTTGTTCATCTACTTTGTGCCCAAAATCAACCAATTCTGTGAGCTTCCTGATCACCAGTGTTTTGAACTATGCATCTCATAGATTGGCTATCTCTCGATCGCTTAAAAGGATGAGTTCTGGGGCACTGATTTGTTCTTCTGTTTCAGCCATCTCTCTCTCTCTCTGTGTCTTTTTTTTTGGGGGGGGGTCTGGTTGCTCCTGTTACGGTGGGGGGGTGGAGCCTTAGGTGTTCACCGGGGCTGGGCACCCCAGTCGCTAGATTGTGACGTTGTATGTGGGGGAGGAGGTGGGAGGGAACAATGGCGGTAGCTCCGTTCTCTGTGGGACCTTAGTCCCTTCTATGGGATCCCGGGCTGTGCGCTCTGCCCTGGTCCACAATTGCCGCCTCACTGGGTCTGCCAGCTGCTGCTTGCATACTCAGCGTCCACCCGCTGCTACCTTGTGCACCCCAGATGCCTTATGTGCCCCCAGTTGCCTTATGCGCCTTGACCCGCACCGGGACTGGTGCCTGGCTGCTGGTCTCCGCCCCTCCTACCGGTCTGGTTGAACAGGTCTACTTCAACTTCGTGGCTGTCTGACTTCCATTCAGATAAATCCTCTGTCAGTTCTTGGTGTTATTCTGCCTCTAAATTGTTGTTGTTCCAATCTTGGTTGTGCGTGGAGGTACGGTGTGTCCACCTATGCCTCCATCTTGGCCGAAAGTCCGTAGAGTGAATTATTTACCCAATCCTCTATTTTGGATATTTAGATTATTTTCAAGTTTTTGGTACTATAAATAATGCTGCAATACACATAATTTTACTTGCATCATATATGTATCTCTGATTACTTCCTCATTCTAAATTCTTAGGAGCAAAATTCTTGGGTCAAAGATTGTGCAAAAATTTAAAACTTTTGTTATGTTTGGCTAAATTGACTGCCAGGAAGATGGCATGAATAGTCCACCCCTGTTTTTTTTCCACAGCATGTTCTTTGCTGCCGATGTTAGCACCTTGCTAGTGGGCTGGATAGACCCACTGTGGCAATTCTTCTGTTCCTTGGTATGGTTTATAGGACCTAGCACAATGCTAGGTATACACTAGACCCTCAGAAATATTTGCTGATTTAATATCTTTCATAATGTGTTCTTTGAAACTCTGGTCTGGGGTTGGTGGGAAATTAAATCATCAAAATATTAGTGTGCTTTCACCCTGAAATACATCACTGACATCTAGTAAATAGTAAGGACTTGAGGGAACGGACAGGTGTGTTTTAATAGAGAGGAAAGACTTGGGAAAACTCTGGAGGCTTCTAAAAGTGTGAAGCCAAATCCATCTGAGGTTTCTGGGAACAGATGGAAGGGGCCAGAAAAACTGAGGTTTACTGGGAAGGAAGGTGA